TACCAGCAAGTCACTTTACTCGTTCCGTAATGCATGATCCCATGACTAACTACTTAGTCACATTGAGATCATTATGATGATGCATTACCGAGTGGGCCCAGAGATACCTCTCCATCACACGGAGTGACAAATCCCAGTCTTGATTCATGCCAACCCAACAGACACTTTCGAAGATACCTGTAGTGCACCTTTATAGCCATCCGGTTACGTTGTGACGTTAGGCACACCCAAAGCATTCCTACGGTATCCGGGAGTTGCACAATCTCATGGTCTAAGGAAATGATACTTGACATTAGAAAAGCTTTTAGCAAATGAACTACACGATCTTGTGCTATGCTTAGGATTGGGTCTTGTCCATCACATCATTCTCCTAATGACGTGATCCCGTTATCAATGACATCCAATGTCCATGGTCAGGAAACCATAACCATCTATTGATCAACGAGCTAGTCAACTAGAGGCTCACTAGGGACATGTTGTGGTCTATGTATTCACACATGTATTACGGTTTCCAATTAATACAATTATAGCATGAACAATAGACAATTATCATGAACAAGGAAATATAATAATAACCATTTTATTATTGCCTCTAGGGCATATTTCCAACAATCTTGTCCTTCGATGTTTTTAGGGTATATGGGAATATATAGGCGAAAGAAGTCGGCCGGGGGAGCCACGAGGGGCCCACGAGAGTGGAGGGCACGCCCAGGGGGGTGGGTGCGCCCCCCTATCTCGTGGCCTCCTTGAAGCTTCCCTGGCTTGCACTCCAAGTTCCCTGGATTGCTTTTGTTCCAAAAAATAACTTTTCCGAAGGTTTCATTCTGTTTGGACTCCGTTTGATATTCCTTTTCTTCGAAACACTGAAATTGGTAAGAAAACAGCAATATGGGCTGGGCCTCTAGTTAATAGGTTAGTCCCAAAAATAATATAAAAGTGCTTATTAAAGCCCATAAACATCCAAAATAGATAAGATAATAGCATGAATGCTTCATAAATTATAGATACGTTGGAAACGTATCAGGGCGGTGGCCATGGGGAGGGGGCTTGCCTCCCCAAGCCAAGGGGTGCGCCCCCTTTTGGGTCCCCCCCCCAACCCTAGGCGCATGGGCCCTAGGAGGGATGGTGCCCAGGCCACTTAGGGGCTGGTTCCCTTCCACATACAACCCATAGGGCCCTCCGGGGCAGGTGGACCCCCGGAACCCCTTCGGTGGTTCGAGTACAATACCGGCAAACCCCGAATACTTCCGGTGACCGTATGATGACTTCCCATATATAAATCTTCACCTCCGGACCATTTCGGAACTCCTCGTGATGTCCGGGATCTCATCCGGGACTCTGAACAACATTCGGTAACCACATACAAACTTTCCCTATAACCCTAGCATCATCGAACCTTAAGTGTGTAGACCCTATGGGTTCAGGAATCATGCAGACATGACCGAGACATCTCTCCGGCCAATAACCAACAGCGGGATCTGGATACCCATGTTGGCTCCCACATGTTCCACGATGATCTCATCGAATGAACCACGATGTCAAGGATTCAAGCAATCCCGTATACAATTCCCTTTGTCAATCGGTACGTTACTTGTCCGAGATTCGATCGTTGGTATCCCAATACCTCGTTCAATCTCGTTACCGGCAAGTCACTTTACTCGTTCCGTAATGCATGATCCCGTGACCAACTACTTAGTCACATTGAGCTAATTATGATGATGCATTACCGAGAGGGCCCAGAGATACCTCTTCGTCATACGGAGTGACAAATCCCAGTCTCCATTCGTGCCAACCCAACAGACACTTTCGGAGATACCTGTAGTGCACCTTTATAGCCACCCAGTTATGTTGTGACGTTTGGTACACCCAAAGCATTCCTGCGGTATCCGGGAGTTACACAATCTCATGGTCTAAGGAAATGATACTTGACATTAGAAAAGCTTTAGCAAACGAACTACACGATCTTATGCTATGCTTAGGATTGGGTCTTGTCCATCACATCATTCTCCTAATGATGTGATCCCATTATCAATGACATCCAATGTCCATAGTCAGGAAACCATGAACATCTGTTGATCAACGAGCTAGTCAACTAGAGGCTCACTAGGGACATGTTGTGGTCTATGTATTCACACATGTATTACGGTTTCCGGTCAATACAATTATAGCATGAACAATAGACAATTATCATGAACAAGGAAATATAATAATAACCATTTTATTATTGCCTCTAGGGCATATTTCCAACACCTCCTTCCCTGTTGTGCCAGGGTTATGCTCCTGGCCAAAATATGAACAAGTTCCCAGCACAAGTCTCGCCACACACCATAAAAGTTATCCACTAACACCTTACTTAACTTTAACTACATAGCATGCTTGATGCCACCAAGGCAGTTGTGCCTGCTGCAAAGATACCTGCACATCACCGACGAGTCGTGGTTGTAGATCTGAACCTTCAATCCGAGTCCTGAGATGCGCACAACGACGAGGTCACCGGGGGCGATTCGGTGGCGGCGGTAGAAGTAGTTCCACCCCCGGCCAAGCACCATGTGGCCCTCAAAGTTGTGGACCTGCACCCAGAACACGCACCGCTTGTTGGCCGAGAGCCTGACCATGCGCGGGAGTCACTTGATGACCAGCCAGGTGTTCATCACCTCCACGAACTTGGGAAGGACGACAAGCATGGCGAGGTCCTCGTTGTCCTTGATCTGCTGGTAGAATCTCATCGGCTTCCTGGATCCCTCCTCGTGGCCCTGCCTCGGAGATCGTCCCCTTGAACGAGGCACGCTCATGAAGGCGATCCTGCCAGGCAGGTCCATCATCCTAAGCCACATGTTCGTGGGGATGAAATCCTCGGCGCGCTCAGCTCCGGCCACCACCTGAGCTCCTCCACCCGCTACATCCCAGTCAGTCTTCAATATCTTGCCAGGCAACATGACAAGTATTAGTATCAAACAAAGCAAGCAAGCAAGCAAGCAAATGCCACTGATCAGTGACACTGGTCAGTGGCATTTGCCCAACAGCAAGTGCCACTGATCAGTGGCATGTGCTCATGGCCAAATGGCAATGATCAGTGGCACTTGGTGTTGGGCAAGAGCACTAATCTACTTGCTGTAGTGCAAATGGCAGTGATCAATGACACTGATCAGTGACTTGCCCAATAGCAAGTGCCATGGAGGCCCGGCAGCAGCTGGAGTAGGAGCATCCGGCACCGCATTGGTCGGCGCTCATGGAGGCCGGCAGCAGCTGGGGGACGGCGCCCGCAGCGCCGACGCCAGGTCGCGGCCCGAGTTCTGGAGCCCGGCCAGCCAGCGCTCCTGGATATTGGCGATGCGCTGGTCGACCAGGGTCAGAGGGCGGCGCGGCGGTGGGCGTGGCGGAGCCATCGGAGAAGAGGGGAGGAGAGGGAAGGGCGGAGAGGAAGAGAGAGGGAGCGGTGGGACGCGGTGACAGGAGAGTGGGGGGCAAGTAATGAGACGTTGCCTCCGTCTCCCGCGCTGCCCGAGGCGTGCAACTGCCCGGCACGTGCGGCCCCGCCCGGCCAGGCTCGCGAGAAACTGCCGATTCGGCAATTTCCGCTGGATCAGGCTGCGGGCTGCTTGAGGTCCGTGCGGGCATCAAATCGCATGCAGCCCAGCCAACCAAACAGGCCGCGCACATCCCGCGCGGGCCTGGTTGGGCTGCATGCGGGCAATCAAACACACCCTTAGTGCATCTGTGGATGGGTGTGAGGTGAAACTTGATCTTCGCCGAGCATTGATGGGTGGTAGGCCTGGCCAAATAGGTACATTCCAGTTGTGTAGCCAGAGCTGACCACACCCCACGCCAGCCCTTAGAGCTACATTGTTGGCTATAATAGCTGCAGACAACGCAGGGCTTCCCCACCACGCTCCAGGCAACATGGCCATTTTTTTGCCAAGAAAAAAAATCCAGTATGTAGCTATATATTTCCTTTGTAAACTAATACTCCCTCCGTCCGGAAATACTTGTCATCAAAATGAATAAAAGAGGATGTATCTAATTGTATTTTAGTTCTAAATACATCTTTTTTGTTTATTTTGATAACAAGTATTTCCGGACGGAAGAAGTATAAGATCTTTCAGATCACTACTTACTTTAGTGATATAAAAGATATTATATTAGTTTACAGAGGGAGTATGTATGTGTGTGTTTTATTGAATGTAATAATTCAAAACCCATTCTTTTGGAGCTGCATTTCCCCAATTCAACACCTTTTTGTTCGAGAACTGATTGCGACATGACCTGTGAGATGCTCTATTTTTGACCTAAATTTTTTCTCTCTACACCCAAAATCGGAATCTGCTCCACCGCTGCTGACCGCGTTGCCTTCCCTCTACGAAACAGATACGCTCCTCCATGGCGTGCTCCAGAAAAAAAAATGGTCATGATGGCTGCCAAGGGTTTTCATGGAGGATGGGACAGGGATAGGTGTTGCACAAATGATGAGACCATGGGATGGCATTGGCACCCAGTACGATTTGACTTCAGAGTTCAGGATGCCAGAAATAGGTGTTGCGCAACACAGGAGGGGGAAATCCACTCATTTCGCAACTTCTTCGGGACAACATGTAGAGGACGATCACCAGAATGAATCATGTCATTGATCTACTAAAATCATTGCACAGCTTTAATGCAGACCAAACAACAACAATTCTTCTAGTTTAGCAAAAGGAAACTAGGACAAGAATGCTGTTCTCAACAGACGCACAACTTTTGCAACTGAGGATTTAACTTTGAAGCAAAAGTCACTCCTATACAATATGACTGCGAACGGTAATATTTAGTCTCCAATCCATGTATCTGGTGACAGATATGAGACGACTAGGAGCAAAATGCAGAAACTAGGAAAATTATGCGTATGAGACGTGATGTCGACGCCCTCTGCTATCGGAGACCTAGTAAAACCCCTTCACGGGGGTTGCATTACCATATCTATAGCTATGTACATGAAGTCCAACGAGGCTGAAGTTTCCCAAACTTCACGGCTTGCTGACATCTAAGTCTACGCCTACTTCCCCGTCGCAGTCTTGTTCATCATCGTCGCCCCTATGTCGCTTCCCTAATACTCTTTGCTTCTCGTCCTCTATAGGAGGAGAAGCCTTGACAGTTAAACTGAATACTTCATCGTTGCACTGCTGTTCAGCACCATCATCCCTTGGCCGCTTCCCTAGTATTGTCTCCTTTTCATCCTCTACAGAAGTAGCTGCCTTATCAGTCAAACTTAACACTTCATTATTGCAGTGCTGATCAGCATCACCCTCCCTAGGCCCCCTTGCTAATAATGTTTGCTCATCATCATCTATAGAAGTAGAGCCCTTATCAGTTGAACAGAACACTTCCCCATTGCAGTTCTGTTCCGCGGCATCGTCCCTAGGCCGCTTCCTCAATATCGTTCTCTTTTCATCCTCTGCAGCTGCAGAGGCCGTGTGAGTTAAACTAACCTCAGTTTGCGTAGCAGCTCCTGTTTGTTCCCCATTGCAGTCCTGTTCAGCGTCATCATACCTCACTCGCTTCACTAACACTGTTTGCTTCTCATCATCCTCTACAGAAGCAGAGCCCTTATCAGTCAAACTAAACATTTGCCCATTGCAGTTCTGTTCTGCAGTACCATCCCTAAGCCGCTTCCCTGACATCGTTTGCTTTTCAATCTCTGCAGCTGCAGAGGCGGTCTCAGTTAAACTAGTCTCAGTTTGCTTAGCAGCTCCTGTTTCTTCCCCATTGCAGTCATGTTCAGCATATCGCTTCCCTAATATTGTTTGCTTCTCATCATCTATAGAAGCAGAGGCCTTGTCAATCAAACTAACATCAGTTTGCATACTGACTCCAGTCTGTTTATCTCGACTGGAGTTTGCTTGCACAACTGCAAGCTCTTGATCAGATAGTGCAGAATTGGAGCCCAAACGACCAGTGGATGTCATGTTATCAAGTTGCCTAGTTTGGACACCAACCGAAGGTATTCTCAACAACACATCTGGCTTCCTTTCTATATGTATCCAACGACTCTTGATCCAATCTCTTGAAATTCTTATATCATTTAGCTGGCATACACGAAAAGAGTTTTCACCTGGAACAATCATCATATAAGTGTCAGTGACATCCTTCTGTTGCAACTTGCAGAAGTAACTTTTAAGAAGAAATACAGAAAAAATAGGGTACTTGGTAGAAGACGAGGCACATGCAGTTGCTAATTTCTATCACATGAAATACCAAGATAACATTCATTCTCCATCTAATGAATTGCTTCCACAATTTGCAAGCAGTTTTACATCATGATATAGATGATGGTGAATCATGATATGGCTTTTGGAATGTCAGTATTTTTGGAATTTACATACTGATTTAATAGTAACTGAAGCAAAAGATTTGTAGAGCAAAATGCCATGAAGTGCCTCAACATTTAGCAAAACAGTGAGTCTCAACACAATACAGTGTAATCCTCATGACTCACTCAATGCCAAAAGAATTGCAGTAACATGACAAACAAGACTCCAAACTGGATGTTTACCTATCACACAACATTTAGCAAAACAGCAGAATTATTGTCATACCAGCACCATGGCAGGACAAAAGAAACAGTCATGCTCCCCTCCCAGATTTACAAAAGCTACTTATTTATGTGCAATGCACCTGCTTGTACTAACAGTGTGAACTGACACACGGTAACATGGAGAAAACAATTAACAATCCGTGGCACCAAACTGATGGACGATGAGAAAATATTCCATTTTTAGGTAATATGGTTTAATCTAAAGGAGTGTAAGGAGTATGAATCACCAGGGGGGAAGGGGGGCAGTAAAGGGCTATTGAGATTTTGTTCTCTTATCTTGCGTATAACACGAATATTCTATGAAGACGGTTTTGTATTTCGTAGGCAGACCAAGAATGGAAAAACATCATTTCAGCAAGAGAAAGCACCTGGGAAATATATTTGCAGGCCATCAGATGAACCGGCATCTGTACTCACTAAAACTCCTTCCCACCAGCCATTAAATTGCCAGACATCAACAGCAGTTCCAGGTAAAAGAGCAGTGTCATCGACCAAAGTCTTTTGTTGAGGACGTGGCCTAATTCTTAGCCGGCCTGGGCATCTCAGTCCAAGTTTATCAGGAAGAGCCAATATAGAGGCACGTACACGCTCCTACATGGAAGCATAAAATAAGTTCAATTGGCATGGCAAGAAATAACCTCATCGGTGCTATATAAAAACATACACTTGCGGAGAAAAAACAGAATAGATCATGATATTGGGAAAAATAAAAGGAGTGGCAGAATGCCGAATATTATGATATACTCCCTCCGTTCTAAAATATAAGGTGTATTAATATTTATTCCAAAAGGGCAAACGTAACCTATGTTTGACCAAGTTCATAGAAAATTGTATCAACATATACAATACCAAATATAGAAAATATGAAGAAAAAAAATGCCATGGTGAATCTAATGATGCTGATTTGGTATTGTAGTCATTGATATTTTTTGCTCTATAAACTTGGTTGAACATAGAGAAGTTGACTTTTCTGAAAATTAATATACCTTATAATTTGGAACAGAGTATTATCACTTCAAATGCATAATCCAACTTAGAAAAGTTATACTAAGATCAGTTAGTCATACCTCCAATTTACCACAATCATCAGCATTTTCGAGATCATCATATTGAATCTTCAGTTTGTCATGACTAGTACATGGCCTCAGAACTGTACACCTGAACCAGCAGCCCACAATGCCACTGTCTTGAGATAAGACCTCTATCTTGTCACCAACGTTGTAGGTTGGCATAGGCTGACTCTGGGGCCCTATAAACTTAACTGAGAGATGTCTTACAGGAGATTGTTTATTACTTGGCTTCTGATAAGATGGTATGGAATCTGCTTGTGGGCTTCGGCAGATTTTGGTACCCAAACATTTCGAATAAAGCCTCTCGAACTGCTTTGAAGACTTGGTCTTCCCAGGTGAACAATGTCTGACTATCCTTATGACATCAGAACCATCCTTTTCTTGTTCAGGTGAAACTTTCAAGGATAGGACAGCAGCTTGATTAAAATATCCACGCAATGTTCTCAAGTCAAAATGCTTAAATTTATTTTTGCTGTACTGACGAAAGCAGAAACGGATCCCCGCCAATGAACTATTTGGCAAAGTGTCCCCACATTTTTCATAATGCTCTGGGGTTAAAACAGTAGCAATATCATCGACACACTCAACACTGATTACTTGAGAATAAGAGGTGATGAAAACTTCACAAGGATGAGGAGCAGGAGGAGGTATGGCACAAGCAAATTCCTGGTTTTGATGAAACCATCGCACTTTAACTTTCTTGAGTCCCTTCTTATCTTCATACATATCCTCCAAGTATGCAAGATAACGGTTTTCCTCCTCAGACATGACAAGTGCAAAAGAGTGGATCTGCCAAATGATACATCATATAGAATTAAAAGATGGTTACCGGTAACTAAGTGTACAAACAGTCATAACAAAACTTACAGATATTGTGGTTCCATTACGACAAAAGGCTTGATAGTGCTGAAGCTGCTTGCTACAAGTCCAGAATGGACCAGACCACATAATGTCTGTACTGCAAGTTGTACCCTAATAATATAATTGGAAAATTATCAACATGTTCATGGAAGATGCGGCAAAACTATATGCAAAGTTATAGGTGATTGCGTACCAGATTGTGACACACATAGCTATCAGTTTCGCTGTATCCATCTAATCCAACATCATTGCCCATACGAGGTCCAAATTTTGAAAAATCTGGAATGAACAACAAGCAACTAGATATCAATATCACTGAGTAACAATCTGAAACAAAATAATACATGTCTCAATCATACAAGTTATATACTTATATCATTATATGCTGAACAGGACAAGCCTGACAGGTGGTCGAAACATTATGGCTAGGAAATGCAGCAAGGAAAATGATAGTCACAAGGGATGTGTTAAGGCTCAGAAGGTCCATCTCCCTCAAATGGGATGACAATCTACCAAATGTAATAAACACAAAGAAGCAATTCACTCAAATCGAATCATGGCATACTAATTAAACTATAAGAATATAGTGAGCTAGTTTGCCTTGTTTTGCCAAAAATGAGGACAGCCTGTCACTAGGGTGCTTACAGCTTGAACTTGGTGTGAACGTAGGGATGAAATGGAGCAGAAACTTTCCGCTTTTCCGGAGGAAAAATGGAAAGGGAGAGGAAATATGAAAAAGGAAACGGAAATTTGCAAAACGGAAGTGGAAATGGAATTTTTTATGCAGAAACAGAAAAAAAAATGGAATGGTGTGGAAACGGAACTTTCCGTTTCCGTGAATATGGGATTTCCGTTTTGACTATAGATCTATGGCTGCTTTGTAGCCCAACCACCAAACAACACACAATGACACAATGAGTAGAATGGATAATTTGAGGCCCAACTTCTGCTACCACACATGTACTCAGCTTGACCCTATACGTAATTGTCCAGTACTACTACAATACTACGCTGAGTTACTAACTATAATGATATTATTTTGTAGCCATGTTAACAATTCTATAAATTCATTTGTTTTTGTGTGTATTTCTCTATGATTCAAGGAGTTTTTAAGTTCCGGTCAACGCCCACTTCTGTTTTCGTGTCTGCTTGTATTCACTCTGTGTCCGTTTCTGGTAGTATCTGTTTCCGTATACATTTTCGGAGTTTCTGTATTTGTTTCCGCTTCTGCAAAAATATATGAAAACAAATGTGGTAACACTCAGTTCTGTCCGTTTCCGCTCCATTTTCATCCCTATGTGAGCATGATTCAACTTTCACCTGTTAAACTTGCCTGCCTCATATAGTGTATGTGTTTTCCTTTTAATTCGAAATCATTCAATCCAGTTGGGTGCTCCTATGGTATTTTCATCCCATTCAAAAAAAGATGGCATTTTAGTCTCACAGAAAAGATGCCATTTTCATATTATGATGAGAAAAAGACACATAATTCATTTTTTTAAGCACTTGCATCCCTAGCCTTTTCTTTCGGTTGTTGGACATTGAGATTTGCTTAATGACTTGTTTGGTGATCGAATGTGTTATATTTATTTTGATTACTGGTTTATATATTTATTGCGTATGGCTACACGTGCATTGCACGTGCATGCTTACTAGTGATGAGAAAAGGACACATAATTCATTTTTTTCCAACACATTGAAACTCCTATCACCAGCAAGTGCAATAATGATTGATAAGAAAACATAGACGGTAATAGATCTTCAGCAGTAAATGAATCAAGATAGCTGACAGAGTACAACTGAATCTTAACTAGTGTGAAGGCGCTTGCGGCCACGGGGAGTCATCTCAAGTGTGGTGGTGCGGGCTGAGCTTTGGTGATCAAAGGGATGATGCAGCGAGGTTGGAGTGGATTAAAGCTCTCAGCTGTTGATGGGTGTTCTTTGAGAAGTTAGTATTGGTATTCTTACTAGTTGTTAGTTGCTAAGAGCAAGTATAATAAAGCGCCATAAGCCTGCTTACATGGCACTATTGCTTATGTGGAGGAGAGAGACGAGGACAATGAAAGGAGTGAGCTCTCATGCAAGAGCCAACCTCTAAACGTGCTCCTAGGCAAATGGAGTAAATGCAGAGAGAAGAGAAAGAGAGCAATTGAAAAGGATGACTAACCTAATAGCCAACCTTATAGCCGGTCCTATTTTATGAGTGACTAATAATGACGATTTTGATGACATGTTAATATAGCCAGCTGCTGACTATACTATGACATGCCCTAATAGGTAAAAATGAATAAATGAGGGGAAAGAGAAAGTGGAAAAAAGGACTAACCTAATAGTAACCTTAAAGCGAACCCTATTATATGAGTGATTAATAATGTTGGCTTTTGATGATAAGGCAGTCTTATATAGCCAGCTGCTGGCTATATTATTAGCCTTGCTCTAAGTAGTCAGTCAAAATTTCCACAGGTTGATGTGCGGTGTAGTTCCTGTTATCACTACTATAATACTTCTCTCGCACACTCGAGTCCCATTTCGTTCCGCAAGGCCTCTTTGTCTGGATTTTTAATCCAAGTAAGATAACGATGGTCTTATCTCTAAAAAAAAACTAGGGTATGTTTTGTTTGTGTCCAAAACCTACCTTACCAAATTTTCAGTCATGACCAAAATTTTGTACCTTGTTTGGATGGTTGCCAAGTCCTTGCATTCTCTAGTTCATTTTTCTTGCCAATATCGGCCAAATTTATCTTAGTGAGTGAACTTAAATAATCCCCAATCATTTATGCCTTAGTTCTGTAGTTCTACGTTCCTGAAGTGGTGATTTGAATTAGATCGATCATCAGTTTGCTACATTAAACCATATTATTGTTTGAAACTGTTCCAATGCTGGTCATACTATAATTTTGCATATATAGACACTCATTATCTACAACAAGTGTCGAGCTTCCCCGGCTTTCATAATATTTAATTTTACACTTCCCATAGGAATGCCGACTGCTAGTTTCTAAGACCTGACAAACTCCTGAATTGGTGGCCTAGTGTACAATCTTGCATCCATGCTGGTATGGTTGCTAGTGCATTAGGTCTCCGGTTTGGTCAAACTGTAAAAGACAGGAGCAGACTTGCCTGCTTCCCTCCTTGTAAAATGATGGTGGAAAGGACTCGCAGGTCTGTAAGGGCATCTCCAATGCCAGGCGCTAGGGAAAATTTCCCGTTCTATCGGCAGTTGCATCCTCAATTCCTGGCGTCGGGTGCCGCAGCGACGCAAAATAAGGCAGCGAGCACTTGCTCTTTTTTTCACACGAGATGAGGCACCAAGAGCTGTTCTCCACCCGTATTTAGTGCCGACGGTTAGCGCCTAGCGTTGGCCCAGATAACACTTGGGGCTTTTTAAAAATTCTGCTATTTGTCTTTTTCTGTTTAAGCGTCTAGATAAGCGTACACCATTGTAGATGCTCTAAAGTGCAATAAAACCATGTCATCAAACATCACATGTTACTGTCACCCAACAGGTAAAGCACAAAAGCTAAGACATCAACAAGTGGCTATCCAAACATTTATGCTAATTAATGTTACCATATCTCAAAGGGGAGCCCTGGCGCAGCGGTAAAGCTGTTGCCTTGTGACCAATGAGGTCACGGGTTCGAGTCCTGGAAACAGCCTCTTACAGAAATGTAGCGAAAGGCTGCGTACAATAGACCCAAAGTGGTCAGACCCTGCGCAAGCGGGAGCTATATGTACCGGGCTGCCCTTTTTAATGTTACCATATCTCAACATGAGATGAAATTGGACAGGACAACCTCAATTTTGACATACTTTGCCATTCGCGTATTTTCGCATTACAGTCTAACATGCCCTTGAAGGTTTGAGAAGTGCCTGATCGTGTCTATTGCAAAGCAAGCTTCTGTACTGAGGACCGATGCGGTAAACTATGTAGGCAAGATTTCAGTTTTGCTAAAGTGCCCTAGACAAACCCGTTCCAGAAACACTACTCAACATAACATGTTAAATTCAAGAAACAATAACAGATGGTAATGCTTAGTACTGTATCAGCAAAATTAATGTATCAAACATTACAAACAGAGAATTAGGGAATTACTTGAGGTGAGGGTCTTCGCCGGAAGGAAGGACTCGAGCCAATCCACCACCTCACGGCGTGACCGCCACTTGCGCGCAAACATCCCCTGCCCACCATCAGCACCACCGGATCCCTGCGGCCCGTGGAAATCCTCTGACACGACGTAGAGCATGTGGCGCAGGCTCCGCTCCGTGCCCACGACTGCCAAGTGAGACACGCCCTCGGCGTCTTCCAAGTAATAATGCACGACGCGGCTGCCCCTCTCCTGCGAGAGGAACTCCTCGCTCCACCTCACGAACTCCGGTCGGTCCTCCCTCGCCATGCTTGCCGCGGTACCAACAGGACGCATCCCCCAGCCCGGAGTACTAAACAAAGGAAGGAGCCTTTGGCGACAGGCTCATGACCTTCCGGGGGGAGGGGGAGGGGGGGTCCTCAAAACGAAGAAAGCGGCTTTAGGGTTCTCGGGGAAGAAGGGGGAGCGGGGGGCGTCTCTCCGAAACCTCGGAGGACGCAAGAATTGCACGGGGAACTTGAGATTAACGTGGAAAGCTGGGGGTTGGGGAACGGCGGCCGGGGATTCCTTGCAATCCCCGGGGGAGGAGGATTTCTGGGGCTTCAAAGAGACTTGGGGGCAGTTCTTGCGGGCCAAATCGGCTTGAATCGGAAGGGGTTCAGGCTGACCAAGAAGCCTTCCATGGAGCCAGGGGCAGCAGCGAGCGGGTTCTTGGGCTGGTTGGCCCCAAAAGGAAAACCAGAAATTTCAAGAAATTACTCCAGGAAGAAAGATGGCGGCGGCGGCGGAGGCGGCGGCAGAAACCGAGCAGGAGGGAGGCAGTCTGCTTGGAAAAGCCCCACTCCGAGAAGGCGAGGGCGGCGGCGGAGGAGCGCGCAGGGAGGTGGGAGGGGAGGCGGACAGGTGGGAGGGGAGGGGAGGGGAGGCGAGGAGGAGGGTGAGATGCTTGAAAGGGGAATCTACTATGTCCCCCCTCTCTTTTTCGGGTTTCTCTGTATCGCGTGGTTTTCGTTGGGGGTGAAAGTGAAAAGTGTCAAGGTTTTCTTATGTCTTGTATACGGAGTATGTAATAAAACTTTGAGAGGAACAAAGGTCAAAAACAGCATCTCTCAATCAAAAAAAAAGAGAAAAAGTTTCAAAAAAAAAGAAAAAAGTTCAAGAACAGCTGTGCCATGGCACCTATGGGATGAGTTGTTCCATGTTTTTTATATGCTAAATTTCGTTCGTGTCATATGTTATGCGTTTCTTGCAATCGCAATCATAAAAAACATCATACGTCGGGGGTGGTAATTTGAACAACAAATGGTAGCACGAGCTCATACGTTGGTCCCGAGAGAAACTTATGGATGAACACAAAGTAGTATAAGGACTCTCGTCAAGTGACTAAAATTATAGTAATCAACTTGAAAACGGTTTTTGTTATTAAGAAACTTCTTTAAAAAGGCACTTTGTTTGTTCACTAATGTCTGCCTCCAGGGTTCTCGAGGGAGATCCTCCATTGTTGACATCAGTTGCCATCATCACTTTAAGCGGGTCATTGGAGCCGCTGTAATTAGAGTTGGATTCATAGGGCGGGAAGCCCCCTAAGGTACGTTTTCGGCGTTGTTGTCGTAGTTGAAGTGTTGTAGCCTCCCACACAGTATCCCGCGACTTGAGCGTCGAGAGAGTACGCGGGGTTGTCATCCCGCCAAGTCATACCATTGTGTGGCGTCCAAGAGAGGGGCAAATCACCGATGCGGTGTAGTCATCATAGGTCGTAGGAAATTCGTAATAGGCCCTAGTGTAGTGCGAAGGGAGGTCGGGGTAATATCACATGGTGGAAGAGCCGTAGTCTGCGCTCGCCGATGACCTGGGCGTCAAAGTCGCTGTCGGGAGCATTGAGGTAGATCCATTTCGGGGAAGCAAGTTCAACGTGAAGGAGGTGTTGCAATAGCCATCAGACTTGTTGTTCTAGTTCCGAACAGAGGAATTGTGGTTATCGTAGCAAGAGTCGAGGGCCACATATAGAATTTTCTAACACCATTGAAGAGGACGATGTGGGTGAAGATGATGGAGGAGTGATTGATGTTGCTAATATGGTCTGCCAGTGAGAGGATCCTCATGGTCGGCGCCAACTGTCAAGTTGTTTTCAATGTACCTAACAACATTGCAGAAGTTGCATTTAATTTGTGTGATAGTGAGACGTCCCCTCGGGTCACCACATGGACACATGGGACATGTTCTACCCAGGTTCGGGCCCCCTTCATGCGAGTAACAACCCTACTCCTTTTCTGGAATTATATCGCAAATGGATTGCAAATGGTGGAGTGCAAAAGCGTATTCGATAGTTTGGGGATGGATGGTCTATACAAGGTGTCTAGTTTGGATCTACCAGTCGTGATAGTCACTACTACAATCTGTTTTACTATTGAGCCCTCATTACTAACTGGTATATGCCCACTAGTCAGTGATGACTATTCCAGATCAACAAAAAAGTCATCATTGACCGGCCATATATATGGTTAGTCAGTAATAACTATTCCAGACAGACCATTTTGAGTGGAAAAATACATCATTGACCGGTCGTATATATGGCCTATCAGTGATGATATGCATCATGGCTAGACCGATATCACTGACCAGCCATCTACTCTGGCACGCCTATGTTGTATCGTTCATCATTAACTTGCTTACATTTCGGCCGTGAGTGATTTTCATCCTAGGTCGCAACCCACTCCTTAGCCAGTCCATACAAAAGATCCTAACCCTAGAGAGAGTCTTCTCCCTCTCACCTTGTGCAGCCAACCGCACAAATCTCTCCACCTACCAAAACAAGACTCCACACACATCCTAATTCATTCCTGCCCTTCCCACATCAGGGTCGCCACCCACCGCCGACCTCGCCCCATATCCCTCAAACCTCATCGCCGACCACCCATACCGTTCCTGCCCCACCATCTCCTCCCATCCCCTCGTCACAAGATGAGAGAAGAGTGAGATCGAGCGAATAGGTCAGGTGACGGCCCAAATCTTCCACAGTCGCTTAGGGCCTCGACCAAGGTCGGCTCCTGATGGCCTGCAAGATACACAGGTTTGTGTTGCATCTTCGTGTAAGTATCGCAATAGTTATCGTCCCAACAAAGAGAGGAGGAGAGTGTTGTGAGTGGAGTTAGGTCACAAACAAGTTGTCATAGGTCTTGTGCAAATTAACGATCTGGAAATTTGCAGATGGTATTATTGTCCCTTGAAACAAATATACCAGAGTGGCAAAAGAGTTGATAGTTGCAGCGAGAATAATAAAGAGCTTAAAAGTAAAAAACATAAAGTGAAGCACTGGAAGTAAATGGTTGTTGTCTACAATAGAGCGGTTAGGCGCAGAGAAACTTCGGATCATGGTGTACATCAAGTGTACTATTGCAACGGTAATACCAATTACCTTGTATTGTGATTCCAGCGCATATATTGTTTGCTCTGTAGGTGGTTCACCTATGAATGGTCGAACTCCTCCATGTCAGAATTGTTCTCCCTATACTCTTGCTTCGACATTGCCATAACATGGTCGTTTCAAGAATTAAGGTCATAAGACTAGAACAACACATTAGGTTTCATGGATCGACATAATCTCATATTATCTTTGCTCCTCATAGATACCAACACCTATCACTTGGAGGTCACAAATTCACTAAAAAATATGTGTTACCTGATACATCTCTGATGTATCTACAACTTTTTATTGTTTCATGCTACATTTATATCATTCATACATACTTTTGGCACTAATTTATATCACTTTTATTTTCAATAGCCTATTAATCCAGTGCCAAAGGCCAATTTCTGCTTTCTAGTGTTTGGGGGCTTTTCACGACAAAAATTACAGAACATTTGATCGACCTTGCGGGACCGATAAATCATGATTTTATTCTTGGACTAGAAGTTGGCGAACAGACCTAATTTCTCTGGAATTTTCATGATAGCACAACTATAACCATTAATCAATTCGATTAGTTGCATCTGAAGAGATTTCTCTGATTCAACCATGGATGGAACCAAGAAATAATTTTGCAATTTTCTGCCACTCTTTATGTCTCAGGGAATCTGAATGACTGCAACACTTGGGTGTTTGAATGGATGACAAAAATGGAGAAAATCACCTGCACTGTTGATCAGTTCATTGATATGCTTCATTTTCCTTGCTTTGATTTTGATGAATCTTGTGATCACATGCTACATTTCTATGATGTTACTGCTGCTCAATTGCACTTGTTGATGGACCCTATCAAGGTTGGCGATGCTTGCCCTACTAAGTGTTGGTGCTAAAACTGGCAAATCTCGGGTAGGGGGTCCCAAGCTTGGTGATCTGGGCTAGATGGTAACAGGAAAAGTAGGGTGATGGAGCGAATTCCCGTCAGATCCCTCAGTAGAGTTCATGACAAGACCGGAAGTACCAAAACAGAGTTTGCACACACAATTTACCCAGGTTCGGGCCTTCAAAGAGTAATACCATGCATCCTGCTTTGTTTGGCATTCATGGCGAGGGGATACCTCGTGCACAGGATTACAGTGGTCGAGATATCTACCGAGAATTGAGTTCCAGATTGGATCCCTAATGAGGTCCCTAGACCTCCCTTTATATAAACAAGAGAGGTCTAGGGTCCACATGGAGAAGATATCAGATCGATCTGGCTCCCACCTTCTGCCTTGGGGTACACATCCGCCGTCCTCTCTTTCTTAGGGTTCTTTGGGCTTGGTGAGCCCTCCTCAAGGTCAAGATTGGGCTCCTTTATGTTAGGCACCCCGGGTCAAGGATCCCGTCAGTAGCCCCCGAGCGTGACGGAGGTCGCGAGCATACAGGCTCCAAGATCTCCATCGGGCTCTTCTATTCATGTCTCCGGCCTCCTGAGTCGTTGCAGGGTGGTCCTGTTCCCCTTCTTACCGGCGATGCCACTATCTCCTCTTTGGATGGCAGGGCCGGACAAACTCAGTGGGCTGACCCACCAGTTGTACAGGCTCCATCTAGGATATGGTTGTTGGGGAACGTAGTAATTTCAAAATTTTCCTACGCACACGCAAGATCATGGTGATGTATAGCAACGAGAAAGGGAGTGTATCTTCATACCCTTGAAGATCGCTAAGCGGAAGTGTTTATTAACGCGGTTGATGTAGTCGTACGTCTTCACGATCCGACCGATCCAAGTACCGAACGCACGGCACCTCCGAGTTCTGCACACGTTCAGCTTGATGACGTCCTCGCCTTCTCGATCCAGCAAGACGGGCGAAGTAGTAGATGAGTTCCGGCAGCACGACGGCGTGGTGACGGTGTTGGTGAAGAACAATCTCCGCAGAGCTTCGCCTAAGCA